TCTGACCCTGAACTTGGCCACATTGGTGATGTTCCCCGCGAACGGCGTCGAGGGCGGGTCTCGAGATCACAAGAGTAGAGGCCCCTTGGGACAGAAGCGAGGAAAGGCGATGGAGTTTCGGCATGCCCCACGAAGCTAGGCGTTAGGCATACGGTCGACGAAGGAGGGAGCGGACAAGAGAGCATGACGACTCGCCTAGTCATGTCGTACGAGGGGGCGAGAATTTTCGCCCCAGATGCTGACGTGCGCTGAGCAAGACTGGACGATGGTCGAAGCGCAGTGTTCGACTCCGAACGCTTTCACGGTCCGTCTCGAGATGCGAACCCCCCTTGGGTGCGGCTGAGGATCAGGCGCCGGACCCTGGTTTGTTGATGTTGCAGGGGCGTGGCCGACCTGGCCGACCTTGCAGGTTGTGCAGGCATGGCAGGCATGGCAGACATTGCAGGACTCGAGCTGAGCCTTCCAGCGAGTGGTGACTGCGAGACCGTCATCAAATTCGTCAGTGATGATGATCGCGCACGCTCAAATGACATTGCCAATGAACATTGGCCAAGGCATGGCAGGCCATTGGAGAAGCAACATGGACCAAGGCCTTGTCGGTAAAGTGGGCGGTGTCTTTGCTAGGCGGCTGTCAATTGCCGAAAAGGGTTTGGGACGGTGCCTGGAAAGCTGAAGTCGAGAGGTGCGGCGAGTCGAGAGGGAAAGATGTGCACCTCTGCCAGAAGACCGATGTGGGCAGGTAAGGCAGGTCGGAACACAAGCAAAGTATTCTAACCCCACTGCACTATCAGTGTGTACTTCCAGCATACGGGGCGGGGCAGTCAGCTTGCTCTGCGCCTGCCAGAGTCAGCAAACTGCCCGCTGACACGCTGCCTTGGGTATCTAGCTAGGTAGGTAGGTATGTACCTTAGCTTGCTTAGGTAGGTACTCGGGCCTCGGCGTCGTCAAGAGTGCCCCCAAGATTAGCCCAAGATTACCTACGCATCCTTGTTAGTGCCCAATGACACGGTACATCTGATCCCACCTAAAAGCACCTAGGCCCCAAGACCAAGACCTAAGATGCCCCACACCCGGCAAGTCCGCCCGAGCCGTCAAGCGCACGATGGGCAGGGCAGTGGCAGTGGCAGCTCCAGCGGCAGCAGCGAGGCAGCGAAAGAGGCAGTGATGTGTGGCATCCCACTCTGTGGAAGCTGAAGTTGCGTGAGTAAGGGAAGGTAGTCGCTCGTCGCTGCCAGTCAACAGCCAGGCCAAGCAGCAGCTCCTGGCCTTTTTGGGACATGGAAAATTGTCCCGAGGCAGGAATAAGGTACCAGCAACTTCCACTGTCGTCTCGGTCTCGGTCCTGCTCCTTCTCTCGCGTTCGCTTCATCGGCCATCCTCTTCTCGTTCTGGGCGGCCCTCTGACCTCTGACCCTCTCCGACCGACCCTCTCTCTGCCCCTCGCACACACCCAGAAAACCTTCCCCCCTCCCCTCATTTTCCTCTCTTCTATATCCCTACCTACCCTACCGCACCGCACCGCACCGCACCGCACCACACCGCTGGCCCTCGTCCTGCCCTAACGACTACCGACGCGGTTCTGGACATCTCCGGCTGCCGCCTCGCTCGACACACCTCTCGCATCGCTAGCCTCCCCCCGCGTCGCTCACCTCGCCTTTGACCCTTCCACCCCCACCCCCCCTGGTCTGGTCTGGTCCCTCCTCCACTCCTCCTAGCACCCGGAGCATCACGATACAATCTTCAATAGCTCTGTTCTCGAACACCCCTCCCCTCTCTCGGCTCCTGCTGAACAAGGGATTCGCTTGCCTCCGCTAACGGTCCGCTCCACACCATCGCGACCTTCACCTCATAGACGCCTAGACGCCTGGTCTCTCGTCTCTCGCCTGGGCTTCCCCTTCGCCGTCTATAAAGCCACGCGCCATCCCGACCTGTCCGTGTCAATCGAGGACTGATCTCACTTTTGACCTCGTCACCCACCTCCTCGAGTCGCCTTGACGGCCTCGCGCCGCTCATCTTGTCACCGAGGCCTGCTTGCCCATACCGCCCGCCGTCCATCACCATGTCCGGCTATCCGGGTCAGGGTTACCACGGGGGAGGTTACCACAACGGCCCCCCTCAGCAGAGCTACCCCCCCCAGCAGCAACACCAGCAGCACCAGGGCGGCTACTACCCGTATGTTTCTCGGTCTACTCCCCGCGACAGCAACCCCAACGCTCATCTCTTTTCCTCCCTCCGTCTCTCTCTCTATCTCTGTGCGCCTCGACCACTTTGGATCTCATCTGGTGCACAGCCTTGAGCCTTGTGACCCAATCCTCCACCGCAGACCACAACAGCCCACCTACAATGGCTACCAGCAGCCTCGACCTGGCCCTCCGCCCGGCGCCGGCCCCGGTCCTGGTTACGGCTACAACCAGCCGCCTCCCCAGCAGTATGGCGGTTACAACGGACCTGTCAGTATTCCCCCAATTGCCGTCGTCCGTCCCACGCTGCGTGTCTTGGACTTGTCACACTGACCACCGAATCAGCCACCGCCTCAGCAACAGCAGCAACAGCCCTACAACGGCGGCTACGGCCCGCCGCAGCCCAATTACAACAGGCAGACCCGCCATGCCCACAGTCAATTCAAATGCCTACGTCCACGGCAACCACAACGCTCCGGCGCCTCCTCCGACAACGCCTCAGCAGTTTGGCCATGGCGCCCCCGAGCAACTACAACTTCCAGTACTCCAACTGCACCGGCAGGAGGAAAGCGCTCTTGATCGGCATCAACTACTTTGGCCAGCGCGGCCAGCTGCGGGCTTGCATCAACGATGTGAAGAACATGTCGGCCTATCTGGTGAAGAATTTTGGATACAAGCGAGAAGGACATGGTTTATCTTTGACGGATGATCAGCAGAACCCCGTCAGCCAGCCGACAAAGCAGAATCTTGCTGCGTGCCATGCACTGGCTGGTCAAGGATGCCAGGCCCAATGACTTCTCTCTTCTTCCACTACTCG